GCATAGCAGAAGTCTAAGCCCCTAAGCACGCCATCTATAAAGTGTTGAAACGTTTGAGCAGCATTGCATTGTCCAAATGACATGTAAGGGAATTCGAACAGGCCAAAAGGTGTAGTAATTGCTGTCCTTTGGACGTCCTCAGCAGCAACCGTGATCTGGTGATAAGCCTTAACAAGATCTAAGGTGGTGAATATTGTCTTACCATGAAGTTGGTGAGAGAAATCTTGAATATGGGGAACAGGGTACCGATCAGGGATAGTTCTAGCATTCAAAGCCCTGTAATCTCCACATGGCCTCCACTCATTGCCTTTTTTGGGAACCATGTGAAGGGGAGAAGACCAGCTACTAGAAGAGGGTCTAGCTATACCTAGTTGTACCATGGATTCAAATTCTTTTTTGGCGAGTTTAAACTTATCCGGTGCCAGGCGGCGGGGTTTACTGAACACCGGAGGTCCTGGTGTTGTCTCGATATGATGTTCTGTGTCATGTTTGGAAGTACAATCAGGTTTACCTGAAGGTCTTGTGAGGTTTGGGTATTCATGAAGTAATTGAGAGAAAACTGTTTGTTGACAAGACTTAATAGTTTTAACACTACTCACTAAATGAACTGAAGGAGTCTGACCTTTGGGAAAAAATGAAGTTGACTGGTCAACTAAACATTGACGTCGTACATCAACAAGCAGATCATAATGGTGTAGAAAGTCTACCCCTATTATTGGTTTGGATACATCAGCTACGATGAAACACCAAACAAATGAGCGGCGTAGACCAAAGTCCAAAGGCAAAGATACAAGACTATATGTTGTAATCTCAGTATTATTAGCTGCATATAGGGTATAGTTAGTCTTGGGTCTTTTTTTATCTAACATATTACGAGGGTAGACGCATACATCAGCTCCCGTGTCAACTAGAAATTGTTGTTTGGTTACCTTATTGGTGACAAATAGGCGACGGGAACATGTGAGGTCGGAGTCGCTTGTCGCCATTAGAGACTCCCTGGGTCGTTTCCCGATCTGCTTCCTTTGAATCTGCAAGGGTCGGTGCACTTTGTTGCTGCGTCGCCGAACCGCCAGTGATACCAACAGATGTCATGGCGATCAAATCGATTCTTGGAGCGTTGCCATGATTGTCTACGTGGATATGTGTCTGATGTCTTGTGGAAATTTGGACGTCTCATGTCTTCTTTGATTCCTGCTATTTCTTGTTGAAATTTGTCTGTTATTTCTCTAATATTTGATGTCAACGTGGTTGTAAAGCGTTCCATCATTTCTTCCATCGAGGGAGCTGATAAGGACGCCTCCGATACTTGATGGTGAGGACTGACTTCATGGACAGCATCCGCAAGCTCCGCCAGTGTATCGAGGTCTGCAGCCTTTTGTGTTACCAAGATGGCTTGTGTTGCTGAAGGAAGACGGCTAAGCCATTGAAACCTCAGTAGTGGATCAGGTATCATGGTTCCGGCTAGGGTACGCATGTGCCTCAGGAACTGTGATGGTGTCCGATCACCTAACTCTTCTCGTTCCAAAAGTTGTTTCGTCTTCTGTTCCTGGGTCAAGGTAAACCGTTTTATAAGTTCTTTTTTTAACTTGATGTACTTTTCTTCTGCTGGAGGGTTGGTGAGGATATCCCTCACTTCCGCTGCGTATTTCGCATCTAGGTTACCGCAGACGTAATAGAACTTAGTTTCGTCGACCGTGATCCCCGCTAGAGAAAACTGGGTTTCAATTTGAGCAAACCACAATTCTGGATCTGAGTGCCAGAAAGGAGGGATCTTGACTTGAATTCTGTCTACTGATTGTTCTCCGTTTGACATTTCGAATCACGTCGGGGTCACCAAATGAAGTTGTAAATTCACATATGCTAGACAAGAGTAAAAATATGTATATTTAGTAAAAAGATAAAGTGAACAATAATAATTGAATGAATTAGTAAACAAATAAATATCATCTGTTAAATAAAGATTTATATACAGGTAAGTAGTTAGGCACTACACCCGCCTAGGCCAAAACAATGAATTTTTTTGTGGCTAGTTTCTTTTTTTTTCTGACATAAATTTTTTCAGGCAACATTTACTATTTATATGCAAGATATTATTATTTTCTTATTCAAAATTAAATGCAGATTCAAAATATATAAGTATATATAAAAAAATACCTATAGTTTTTTTATTACTGGCATGTGAAGTGTGACGAGGCAGAGCTCACACCCCCATCGGCTGTAACTGTGCTTTCGCTAGGCACTACACACTTTGCATCTTCTTGAAGGTGTTTGTTTGATTTGGAGGAATAGGCCTAGGAAAATGTCCCCAATTTGCTGCCTGGAGCCTCAGAGGAGTTTCTATGTTGGATGACGTCCTTTTCGATTGTAGGGTGGCAGTGTTCGCGACTCAAACATTTGCTTGGTAAATCTCTCCTTAACCTCACTACTGAACCCCAGTTGTTTCTTGGTTAATTTTTTGAACACAACATAGGAGTTAAAGAGGCCAATGTCCATTATGTAAAAAAAAAATCTTTTTGTATCCTTTAGCTTACTTTATCATACTAGGAAACAACGCTAATTGATGATCCTCGCGGTCAATTCCACCTATTAAACAATTGTAGTAGATCACGTTCTGGCTTTGTTATCACTTCTGGGGTAACTCTGTCTTTCTTTCTAGTTGATCTTTTGTCAGCATTTTTGTAAAAGGTAGACAAAATGCAAACTTGCTTCTTCTCCTGCCACCTTACTGCTATCATATCGTAGCTCACTGAAGTCACTTTGTGTTTCTGAGGACTTAGAGGATTTAAAAATGTTTTGCAAAGATTCATTCATTGCAAAGTATGTAGAAAACCGTCATATTGCAGTTCAAAGTTTGTTGTCTATGCTACGAGAAGATATCTAATAGGATGGTGGGAGGGACCTAACAGACTGTTGAAACAACTTCTCAGGAAAGTACACCAGGAAGAAAAAGCTAACACAAAGAGAGTTAAAATTATAAAAGTTCTAAAACAAGTTGCATAATGACTGGACTTTTAGTATAATAATTTTTTTGAGTTTTTGATTGATGGATACATAAGACCATAGACAAATAGAATAAATATAGACTGTCAAAGGAAGGTTCCGGCGCCCACCACTAGGAGTGCCGTGTAGTTATGACGCACACCGCTGCAGGTGAGAAGCGCAGGAGCCGTATGCGACCATCAGGGACGCTTCACGCTGCAAACCTAGCGATGGACGCCAGAACTTATGCTAACCGCAGCACAGCTGACGGTCTATATTTATTCTATTTGTCTATGATAAGACTCAAAAGGTGGTAGAATGTTGCAAATGGACTGTGTCTAGATGATTATTTATATTAATTAATTCATCACATGTTTTTGTTTACATATTAGTGTTTTTCTTTTGAATTGATTGTTATAGTTGGTATTGAATGGTTATACCTGATTAAAATTGGAAGATATTTTGTTCTATTTTTTAAAAAATTTATTTAAAGTCTATTATTTCTTTTAGAAGAGTCAGTCTCGCGTTTTAACAATAAGTTTTATATTTTATAATGTCACTTTCATCTTTTCCGAACTCTTTTCCAAATTCATCAACAAATACCAAGTTATTTTGAAGACTCATTTTATAATACAACTAAGCTTTTCAATTGAATAATATAGTAAAACATGATAGCCTACCATAGCTCAATCTTTATCACGACGAAGTGAAACATAACATGATAGGCAAACTGATACAGACTGACACTAAATAAATTCTATTACTTATTTTATAAGATAACTAAACTTTTCAATAGAATAATAAAGCAAAACAAGACTGTAACACTGTGAAACCAATGAAGACGTCGTCAGCTGTTAAGTTGCAACATTGCAACTTCAGTTTTTTTGCCGATTGGACTGGACAAAGAGGACGAAAATATAACCAAAAGAAAGCCTGAAACTCATACAAGAAGCATATGCGACCTATTGGATTTCTGAGGAACTAACTCGGCACAAACAGGTTTTAATAGCGGACGGCGATTCGCCATCGCTTCACACAATTGCTAATGGGAGTGCGACGGTGGAACGCCGTGTTGTAAGCGAAGGGGTTAAGTAAAATGTTGTTTAGTGAAAAAGGGATGTTTAAGAGAAACCCCAGCTATTGAATAGCTACCTAAGTAATTTATAAATGTGAAGTGGAAAGTGAATAAGGACCTCTTGTCGGGAATTTTCGATTTTGAGTTACATTGGCCTATATGTATTTCAATTCCTTATTAAATTCTGAATTACTTGGTGCAAGTCCCATGCATCTACAATTTTTTTTTGTTAAAGTTATAGGAGTTTGAAATTTTTTTATGATAAAAGGATCATTTTGAGAAAAATTATTGTAAAATTTTTAAATAGGCCTACGCATAAACAGTTTTTTTCGTAGGATTTAAGAGACAATTTTGGTAGGTAGTAAACGAAAGCTTATCATGTCCTGTTTGGAGGCAATACCCATTTTTGTCTAAACTCAAGGTAGTTTTCATTTAAATAATTGTGTTATCGAAGCATTCCGTTAAAATCACATTTCAGAAAAGGGACCTTAAGTCGGCTCTATCTTATTTCTCCATAAGATAAGAAAAGGTAGGCCTACCTCTTGTTGGGACCGCAAAATTTGTAAGATATTTTGTCTTCGTAAACTGAACTTTGATGTAGTTCTCTAAATTTCCCCTAGAATGCAGGAAAATTCAGATTTTGACGAAGTTTATAGAGTGAAGATTAGAAATGGGAAATCGTTATGGCGAAATAACATTGAGGGACAAGAGGTGTACCTTTTCTCAGACCGTGCAGAGACTAACAAAATTATTTATTTTGACGTTTTACATCTTCAATTCGATATTTAAACAATATTGTCCTATTCTATGTTAGATGAGGTATAACAATTGATAAAAACTGAATTCCGATATTTTCAACCTTTTATTATATGGGCCGTACTGAAAATTTTGCATCGCCGACAAGAGGTCCCTTTTCACTTTCCACATCACAAATAGATAATTTTACCTGTATTGGTCAGGTGGTTGTGGGTAGCCCCTGCTTCTCTGGAATTCAACCGGAATTACGGTAATATAGTTATGGCCACTCTCTGGGTCTGTGCTGTCTCGTTGCTGGTCACTTGACGTCAATGCCATTGTTTAGTTCAACTCCGTTATTCAAAGCTGTTTACACATTCAAACTTAAATTTCAGCTATGACTTTTTCTCTCATTTTTCACCAAAAGGAAGAACAACTGAAAGTGCAGAACTTGGACTTAAAAAGTACTCCAACGGTTATAAGGCCTAATTGTTATGGCAATTTTTTTTCCATATTCAACTAACATTCTTAGCAATATTATTACAATTAGATTGTAATCAATTGAATTTGATTTTACAACAAATTATAACAGTATTAAAAACCTGAAAAAAGAATAGGAATAAAAAATTCCAACCTTAAAAATTGACAATTCCCTGGTCTTCAATACTACAGAGAAGAGGAGTCTGTATGTATGTATCTATGTATGTTTTAAGGTGTTTTTCCACTTAAGGAATTAGAGGACTAAGTACCTAACTTTAAACACTTCTAGGCAAAGCGGTCCAAACCCATATGTTGGATATAGTATTCAAACATTTTATTTCAATAATCTATGAAATCTACTGCTGTTAGGACTAAGCTGAGGCTACCTACTATTGAATTCACAAAGTTTAGCGGGGATTTGAGGGATTGGCTACATTTTTGGGCACAATTCAAAAGAATAGATGATGACGAGAATATTGACGATATTGATAAATATCGTGTGTGTTTGGATCTTGTGCAGGTTACTTTAGCTAATTCTAGGGCTCGTCAGCTGGTCAAAAGCTATCCTGCTACCGCTGAGAACTATTCAAAAGCTTTGCAAAGTCTTAAAAGTCGTTTTGGTAGAGATGACCTTCTCATAGAAGTGTATATTAGAGAACTTTTGAAGTTAGTGCTGAGTAATTTTAACAGTAAGGTAGAAGTTTCTTGCATTTACGATAAACTGGAAACCCATCTAAGAGCATTGGAGACATTAGGAGTAACAACTGACAAATGTTCTGCTATGTTATATCCTCTTATAGAGTCTTGTTTGCCCGAGGAACTGTTGAGAGCTTGGCAGCGTCACTCTGGCTATGAAGTTGATGCTGAACTTAAGGATAGACTTGATGGTTTGATGAAGTTTCTGCAAAAGGAGGTTGCTAACGAGGAAAGGATTACTCTAGCCGCATCTGGTTTTGAAAATAGTAAGCGACCTAACCTACAGCCTAAAGTAAGTAAATCTACTGTATTTCGACCTAAGCCTAGTTACACCAGACATACTGAAATGATGCCGACAGCTACTGGTTTAGTTAACCCAACGAAGTTAAATACTCAAGACGTAAAATGTATGTTTTGTGGTTCTAACCACTTAGCTGAGAACTGTAAAGACAGTAAATTGACAGTAGATGAGAAGGTGATAATCGTTGTAAAAAATGCTTGTTGTTTTACTTGCTTGAAGTATGGTCATAGGAGTGTGCAATGTAAAGTTAGAGTAAAATGTCCCATCTGTGGAAAGAGGCACACCGCTGTTATGTGTAAGGCATCTGCTGCAGAAGGAAGTTCATTGAGTGAACAACCAGTCAAAGAAAGTTCTCTAGCAAACAATGTTCACACAGAAGTGTTTTTACAAACTTTTTTAGTAAAAATTAGAAACCAAAATCAAGAGCGAACAGCACGTGCTTTAATAGATACGGGATCACAACGATCTTATATTTTGAAAAATACAGCAAAGGAATTTGGCTACGTTATAGTCAGAAAGGAGAAGCTAGCTCATGCTTTATTTGGTGGCACTAGTACTGAAACAATTGAACATGCGTGTTATAAGGTTAGACTAAGTGACTTAAATAACAGTTATGCCTGCAATTTTGCCGTTCTTGATCAAGATGTAATTTGTAACGATGTTACAACAGTTAAGCCTGGTCCTTGGTCCATTGAGCTTGAAACACTGGGAATTAATGTAAAAGATGGAGACGGGCCTATTGAAGTTCTGATAGGTGCAGACGTTGCCGGGAAACTTTACACTGAGAAACGATATCTGCTTTCCAACGGGTTAGTTGCGATGCACACTTTGTTGGGCTGGACTTTAATGGGAAGAACTACAGTTGAAGGGAATGACAGGTCCAGTTCTATGGCAGTAACTTCTTTACTGTCCCCTATTGATAATAAATCCATTTCAGATTTGTGGAGTTTGGATGTTTTAGGAATCAAGGATCCAGTGGAGGTAAAGAGTGAATCTTCAGTTAAAAGTAGAACAATGGAACATTTTGTAGAATCTGTTTCAGTGGAAAATGATGGCAGATATCAGGTCAAATTGCCATGGGTTGAAGATCACCCGCCATTACCTACTAATTTGAAAGTAGCACAGAAGAGACTCAGTAATCTTACAAATAAACTTATTTCTAGTGGATATCTTAGTTCATATCAACAGGTGTTGTCTGACTGGGAGGAATTAGGTATCATAGAGAAGGTTAACGATGCCGATTTGGAAATTGGTCACTACCTACCGCATCGACATGTGATAAAAGAAAACAGTCTTACCACGAAATTGAGACCTGTATTTGATGCATCTGCTAAAGAAAAGAATCAACCCTCGTTGAACGATTGTCTAGAAAAAGGTGACAACCTAATTGAATTGATTCCGTCCATATTAAATCGTTTTAGACTACACAGATATGGAGTTGTTGCTGACATCGAGAAGGCTTTTCTTCAGATTGGTGTTCATATGGATGATAGAGATTTCCTTTGTTTTTTGTGGATTAATGAAGATGGTCAATTGGTTGTTTACAGACACGCTAGAGTGGTCTTTGGAGTTACCTGTAGCCCATTTATGTTAAGTGCAGTAATAAAACTTCATTTAGAAAAAACACTAGACTTGATAGATTCTGGATCGTTAAACTACTCAAGAAAAGTAGTAGAGACACTGTCGAGAAGTTTCTATGTAGATAATTGTATGGCAAGTTTTGATGACTTTTCAGATTTGAATCAATTTGTAGATCAAGCGACTTCTGTAATGAAAGATGCTAGATTCTGTCTTCGGAGTTGGGAGTACACAGAAATTCAGAGTTTTAAAAATGATTCTACTTTGACACCTATCTTAGGTTTAAATTGGAACAAACATGATTGAGTTAAATTTTGAAAACTTTGAGTTTAAAGAGCCTGAAATAGTCACAAAGAGATCTATTTTGTCTTTTGCTCACAAGTTGTTTGACCCCATAGGTATAACTTGTCCTGCTACACTCTTGCCTAAGATATTGTTGCAGAAAACGTGGGAAAGTAAAATTGGATGGGATGACAAGGTTTCAGAAGAGATAAAACTTTTGTTTTTAGATTGGGCAAAGCAACTTGAGATTTTTTCAAATTTGAAAATTCCAAGATATTTTGGAAATGAAATCGGAGGGAATATTTCTTGGACAGTTCACTGTTTTTGTGATGCAAGCCAGGACGCTTATGCGGCCGCGGTTTTCCTGAGGGGTGAATCTAATGGACGTGTCACAGTTCAATTAGTTCAAGCGAAGAGTAGAGTTACACCTGTCAAGAAGATGACTATTCCTCGGCTGGAGTTACTGGCGGCTACCATTGGCGCTCGTCTAACTGACAACGTATTAAAGAGTATGAGATTTGAAAATGTCAAAACATTTTATTGGACCAACTCAACCACCGTTTTGTCATGGATTCGTCGAGAAGATTACTGGGGAGTGTTTGTCTGGAACCGAGTAAAGATAATAAGATCCCTTAGTAACATTGAATCTTGGAATCATGTTCTAGGCCATATGAATCCAGCTGATTTGCCGTCACGTGGATGTTCTCCTAAGCAGCTAGTGGAGTCGAAATGGTGGGAGGGACCACAATGGCTAAGAAACTCATCAAACTTGTGCCCTAACCAAAACTTCAGTGATGATTGTGATGAGAAAGAAGTAAATTCTGAACTTAGGAAGATCAAATCAACTACAAAGGTTCTGATTAATTCAAAACCTGAACCAGATTGTTGGTATTACAGATATTTCTCCAGATTTGATAAAATCGTCAGATTGGTAGGCTGGATTTTGAGATTTTGTTCTAACACAAATATGTCTAAACAAAAGATATCAGGAGGATTGTCGGTTGATGAATTGATTAAGGCTCAAAATAAAGTGTTTAAACTTATTCAGAAAGACGCTTTCCATAGTATTAAGGATGAAAAGTTGAGTTCATTGTGTCCGTTTGAAGACAGTGATGGCTTATTAAGGTTAAAAACAAAAATCACAGAGAGGCCTGATGGTAGAAATTTTAATCTTCCCATCGTACTGCCGAGTAACCATCCTGTTGTTCACAGATACATACAATACAAACATGAAGAATATTCACATGTTGGAGTCCAAGGATTGTTATCTATTCTCAGAGAAGAAGTTTGGATCAATAGTGGGAGAAGAACTGTAAAATCAGTTATTGACAAATGAAAATGAAAAAAATGAAAATGAAAAACGTTTATTTATCCCAAGAATATAAACTAAAACAGAGAGTAGCTATACAACTAACAGTACAATATTTCTAAAATAAAATAAAATTGCCTTACTTATGGGATAGGCCTACATGGGCAGGTGCCTGTGCGTAGGCCTGGCTGTTATCAGTCTAGCAAATTGAGGGCACACACTAAAATTGGGAAGGTTTTTAAGCCTTGTTAATTAAACTTGATCGTTTAGCGGATAAGAGAATGTCGGCGACGACAACCAAAGCCAGAGCAATCTAAGACAGGAGACATTGTGAGGGCGAGGGGGGTCGAAGGGTCAAGGATTGTTTAGTCAGGGTCAAGTAAGGTTAGGTCTGATCAAAGTTTCGGCCTCTTCATTGGTAATCGTGTGCAGTAAAACAAGCATCTGTTTTTTGAATTTCTGTATTGAGGGTAAACTAAAAATGTGTTGAATATTATATTTTTGAATTAGATTTCGATATAGAATCTGAGCAACATAAAAACAGTTGGTAGTTAGAACTGACTTATGTAGCTGAGGGACAGATATTCCAACATTGTGTGAATATCTTGTGTAGTGTTGATGTGTGACTGCTGTAAGGATCGTGTTTGAGTGTTTGAATGTGTGACTAAGAAGAAACTGAATGAAAATATGTCTGACTGGTAATACTCCCGTCTCACGGAATAGCGCATCAGTGGAGTACCTTTTATTTTTTCTAAAAGCTACTTTCAAAATTGATCTTTGGACCACATTCAAGGGTTCCAAGGTGGTGTGATAGCATGCTCCCCAGCAGATAATACCAAATGAAATCAATGATTGTACATAAGCGAAATAAGCTCTCTTTATGTCCTCCTCGTCCAAAATGACACTCAGTTGATTAAAAGCATATATGTATTTACGAATCTTTTTCTTTAAGAAATCTACATGCTCTGACCACCTCATTCGGTAGTCAAAATAAACACCTAAATATTTGTAATAATCTACTTTTTCAATGTATTCACAATTACAAGATATACTGTTATGGTCGCCGCAACAATGAATCTTCAAATTGTCTAGACTATAATCAGTGCTTGTACTGAGTGATATCGGAAGAAATTTAGTCTTGTTCACATTAAGTGAGAGCACATTTTGATCTAGCCATTTTTTTAGAAGTGAGAGGTCACGGAGAGCTTTAGACCTGACATCCTCCCAAGAACGACCCTTTAACAAAACTAATGTGTCGTCAGCAAATAAAAATAGTTCACCATCCAGGTTCAGTTTTGAAATGTTATTTATATAGATTAGAAAAAGTATAGGCCCCAAAGTACTTCCCTGAATAACCCCATACTCAATTGAATTTGCATCACTATTCACACCACAAATGGAAACTACTTGATGTCTGTCAGATAAATAGTTTTTGAACCAGGCGAGAGCAGTGCCTCTGACACCGATCTGTTCCAATTTTGCTATCAACAAGTTTCTGTTAATTGAGTCGAATGCTTTTTTTAAATCTAAGAAAATTAACATAGAACGATTGTTATTTGCCATTGAGTTATTTATAGATTTACATACTTCAAAAAGTGCATCAGAGATGTTTTTATCTTTTCTAAACCCAAATTGTGAATTAGATAATATATTGTTATTATGAAGGTACTCCACCAACTGCTCCTTGACAATACGCTCTAAGACCTTGGAAAACACGCTTAACAATGAGATTGGTCTAAAGTTGTTACAGTCTTTTGGATCACCTGTTTTAAATAAAGGAATTACTTTTGCAGTTTTGAATTGAGCCGGGAATATACCAGTCAGTAGAGATAGATTAATTATGTGTAGCAGCGGAATGTAAATTATGAGTGCGTTTTGTTTAAGTAAATCAGCCGAAACTTCGTCCAGACCCGGAGCTGAGCCACCGCGCAGCTCGGAGATGTGTCGTAGTACGTCTTGTGCAGAAACAGTTTGCAATGTGAAAGTAGAGTCCAGTCTGTAGTCAGAGTCAACAACCACTGGGGTCCCACCCGCATCTATCTGCTTCGATAGATTTACTCCAACAGAAGCAAAGAATTTATTAAAATCATCTGCTATCTCGTGTTTTGCGGCTTGAGTATCATGAGACATGCTGGGAATAAATTTATCAATTGGAAATGAATTTTTATTACGTGGCCTGCCAGCAAGATCATTGATCAGTCCCCAAAACAATTTTGGATTCCTATTGTTCTGGTACAATCTTTCTCTGTAAAAATCTCGTTTGGCTCTTTTTAATAAATTGCATAGGTTTTGTCTGTAATTCCTATAATAAGTTTGTAGATAATCATTAAATGGTTCACGACGAGCGGCTTTACTTAATTTGTCTCTAGTACGTATTGATTTGACCAAACTGTCAGTAATCCATGGTTTAATTCTTTTACGTCTGGATGATCTTGAAGTTATAGGTTTTTTTGCATTTTGTAAAGCAAAATCTAGATTTTTGTAAAACATTTCACAGCACATATTGATATCTATACAGTTTAGGACAGGTCCCCAGTCGGTCTGAGAGAGATTTTGAGTGAGAAGGGTGTGATCAAGGTAAGTTTGAGAAGGCCCGGTTGCAGTGTGAATGTTAAGTGTGTGTGCGTGAGTGTATGCAGTGTCATGTATAGTGAGGGCGGTGGCATAGTGGTCGGTGAGGCTAGTGTGCAGTACAGCAGCGCGCACAGCAGTCATGTCACAGTAACGCACAAATATGTGATCAATGCAGGAGGCAGTGTCCTGTGTAACTCTAGTCGGTCTGTCCACACACTGTACAAGTCCAGAACCAAGTAAACTGTTTAAGTAAAGGTCAATTAGTATATCCTTGTTCAAAAGGTTTAAATTCATGTCCCCCATAAAAATGCACATTTTGTTTCTATCTATGTTCTGATAATAAGTCTCAAGTTCACTAGTGAATTGTACTGGATTGCTGTCGAATGTTCTGTAGAGTGCAAGTAAATTGAAGTTCTTGTTGCAGTACACAAAGTCCAGTGATAACCCATGAACGTCCCCCAGAGTGATTTGTCGTGCAGTCGCTGATAGTGATTTGTTAGTAAACACAATGATACCATCATTGCGGTTACGTTGAGTGGTAGTCATGTGAGTGTCAAACCCGTCGATGTTCGCCCCCACCTCTCCCCCACCAAGCCAGCACTCAGAAAAAATTATAATATCTAGACTGGTATTAAAAGAATCTAAGTAAACTAAAAACTCATCAAAATTTTTGGAAAAGCTTCTAATGTTATTGTGAAAAATTTTCAGGCTCTTTAAATGATAATTAAAAAAGTTAGTGTATTGATCAGTGGAATGTAGCTCAAGACAATGGAAGTCGCCGTCGCCGTCATCATCACAGTTATCAAAAATTTGCATCGGCCAAGCCCCAGTCACCTGCCCAGTCAACCGTTGAGACATCTATAACACTATACCAACTAAACTAGCATGAGAACTAAAATATTAAGTTGCTGTTTCAAGAAGCTCTCCAAATGCTCTCCAAATGTGTCAAATGCAAGCGATATTGTGTTAAAAGTTTGGATACTGATCCAGTACCACTTCCTTCGCAACGGGTTAGAGATGCTTCTGTTTTTGAAGTCTGTGGAGTTGACTTAGCTGGACCTGTTTTCCTTCGAGATGGCCAAAAAGCTTGGATTACATTATATACATGTGCAGTATACCGTGCCGTGCATTTGGAGTTAGTTACTTCATTATCGACTGAGTCATTCTTGCAAAGTTTGAGAAGATTCATTTCCAGACGGGGTCGACCAACAGTCTTGTTTGCAGACAACGGCACTAACTTCCAAGGGGCTTACAGTGCGTTGAAGCAAATCGATTGGAATGAGATTGTTGAGTACAGCACAATCAAACGTATAAAATGGAAATTCAACCCACCTGCCTCACCATGGTGGGGAGGCTGGTGGGAAAGACTCATAAGACTATTGAAACAGCTTCTTCGCAGAGTCTAGGAAGAGCTAGTTTGACTTATGAAGAATTTTTGACTGTTTTGTGCAGTTGTGAATCTGTCATAAATAGTAGACCCTTGACTTACATTTCAGAAGACAGCCATGACATGGAAGTTTTGACGCCAGCTATGTTTTTGAATGGTACGAAGGAGTATGGAGTTATTGATTTGGACCAGATCAACTACACAAATTTGTCTCGACGTTGGAACTTTAAATTGAAATTAAAAGAAGATCTTGAAAAAAGATTTAGAAGTGAATATTTAAGTCAATTGGTGTTACATTCAAAGAAGAAGAAATCTCATCAAGTACAAGTTGGAGAAATTGTTTTTCTTGGAAGCGACAATACCAAACGGATGGACTGGCCTTTGGCGAAGATTGAGAAGATACTTCCTGGAAAAGATGGCAACATACGTCTTGTGGAAATAAAAACATCAAAAGGAACAGTGCTGAGACCCATACAACATGTGTTTCCACTTGAATTGGTCCAGCAGAAAGACAATCAAGATGGTAATGACACATTCGAAATGGAAGATGAACAAGTAGCTGAAGGTGTTGATCGTGAACATGATCAACCTGTTTACACACAAAGAGGAAGAAAAATTATACCCCCACAAAGATACCTGAATTAATAATTAATATTTTGACTTTGCAAGTCAAAAGGTGGGAGAATGTTGGATATAGTATTCAAACATTTAACTTAAATAATCTATGGTTTATATTATATTTTGTCTTTTTACAGCTGCTATGAAAATGAACTTTAATAATTTTGAGACATATGATTTTTGAATGAATTGTTATGTTGTAATTACAAGAAATAATAGTTTGGTAGCATTTTACTATGATTGAGTAACTTTTTGTTTGTGAATAATTAAATTATTTTCTGCTCAGTATCGAGTCCTATTTTCTCTCCATTTTAGACTTTTAACACCATATGTGTTGTGGGTGAGTCAGGAATGCAACACGTCCCTCCCTTAAACCAAACCTCTATGTGTTGTGGGTGTGCCGGGAATGCAACACGTCCCTCCCTTAAACCAAACCCATGTGTTGTGGGTGTGTCGGGAATGCTACACGTCCCTCTCTTAAACCAAACCTATATGTGTTGTAGGTGTGTCAGGAATGCAATTCGTCCCTCCCTTAAACCAAACCTATATGTGTTGTGGGTGTGTCGGGAATGCTACACGTCCCTCCCTTAAACCAAACCCATGTGTTGTGGGTGTGTCGGGAATGCAACACGTCCCTCCCTTAAACCAAACCTCTATGTGTTGTGGGTGTGCCGGGAATGCAACACGTCCCTCCCTTAAACCAAACCCATGTGTTGTGGGTGTGTCGGGAATGCTACACGTCCCTCTCTTAAACCAAACCTATATGTGTTGTAGGTGTGTCAGGAATGCAATTCGTCCCTCCCTTAAACCAAACCTATATGTGTTGTGGGTGTGTCGGGAATGCTACACGTCCCTCCCTTAAACCAAACCCATGTGTTGTGGGTGTGTCGGGAATGCTACACGTCCCTCTCTTAAACCAAACCCATATGTGTTGTGGGTGTGTCGGGAATGTAACACGTCCCTCCCTTAAACCAAACCCATATTGTTATGGCTGTGTCGGGAATCGAACTTGTCTCTCCCGCACCAAAGTCTGAGACGCTAACCACTAGACTAGCAACACACCCACTTTGGGTAGGCCTAGATATACAGGGTGACCCGGAACTCTCTACCAATATTTTAGGGCATTTTTCCTGCGTAAGAAACATCTAAATATCATATTTCAATTGGCAAAAGTCCTTAGCTAGCCACACTGCCGCCATATATTTTTTCACTTTATAGTATTTTATAGTATTTATAGTAGGCCTATTATAGTATTTTTTCTGAAAAGTAGTTAAACATAAGTACAAAATTTAAATTTTTGCACAAATAGGCTATTTATAACAACTAGACAAAGCTACAAAAAAATTATGACAATTTTCCAAATTCATTAAACAAAATGGCGGCCATTTAAAATACCATTTTGTTTCTTAAATAACTCAAATACCCTTGATTTTGCAAGTTTTTACAATAATGACGTTTTTAAGGCAATTTAACTGATTGACACCTTACTTTTTAAGATTGGGCAAATATTAACTGAGGATAAAACTTATGGCAAATTTAGTGAAACGTGACCGCATGCATGGACCACAACTGACGGCTGCAGTTTCATACCTCAAACGGTCACGTACGGTATCATCATAGATCAAACATAATCCCTTAGTAGATTTGTCATCCTTATGGAAATGCTGAAACCAACTTTATTGTTAGTTCTGTACGTTCAACTGTAGAGGTTATTTTTTGTTTACAATTTGTTTCTTGTTATTTCAGTCATTTAAAACCTTGTTTAACAAAATAAAACTGCCTAATCATAAAACTGGTCTCCTAGTTATATAACCAAATAGTAGGCCTAAAGCACAAATCATGAAAATAACCCTAAAATAATATTAACAAAATAAAATTTTGTATATTATAAGCCTACACTAACGATCAGTGTGGACGTACATGAACTAGACACAAAAAAAAGCTTCAAAATGTACAATGGATGAGGAGTCTACTTTTGTTGATTAGTCTAAGGTATCACTATTTTAAAGCTGCTCATATCAGTTTTTTTTTTTTTTTGGTGAACATGCATTTTAATACCGTAGGCCTACTGGTACCGTGTCTGTTTAGGCTATGAAATTACCTTATGTGAAGCTGCCAATAACTTCACCAATAAATATGATCTTAGTGAAAAAGAAATGATAAATGACGAAAATAAACAAATTGTAGTGACATTTCCATGATAACACAACCCCTAGGCTAGTAAGCAAATCGGTTGCACTTTAGTTTACGTCCTACATTTACTATTATAGGCTAGCCTACATTAACTACCAGCAGTGGGGTTCTGGGACCTTGTCAAGGGGGGAGGGGGTTTGGGGGGTGTGGAGCACCCCCCAATAAAGCAGGGGGTCCGGGGGTCCAGGCAAAATTTGGAATTTTCAAAGCCGTTTGGTGACTTTCTAAAGCCATTTTAACACCTAAAACCGTGCCCAACTGTCCATAAACTCCCATTTCACCTGTTGTTTGTCATGAGCAAATAGACATTTTAAAAATTAAACAATGACGATTGCATTCATGAATTTCAAAACACACTGTAGACTCAGCCATATCCTCCTAAAAGCAGTTGGGTGACTTTCTACAGCCAGTTTTAACGTCTAGAACTGTGTGCAAAACCTCAAATTTATTTGCCATAAATAAGTAGGCCAAGACATTTTTACAATTAAGTTTATGACTATGGAAATTTAATTCATAAATTACAAAACATATGGTAGGCTACGGCCATATCCTCATAAATGCTGTTTCCTGACTTTCTAAAGCCATTAGGCCTATTAATGTCCCTATATCTGTGTCCAACTGTCCAAAAACCTCCCATTTCACCCGTTTTTTGTCTTTGTCATGAGCAAGTAGACATTTTAAAAATCAAACTATGACGAACTTGCATTCATGAATTTCAAAACATAGGCCTACTGTAGACTATGAAGCCATATCTCCTAAAAGCCGTATGGTGACTTTAGTAAGTCATTTCTAACGGCTAGAACTGTGCCCAATTGTCCTAAAACCTTCCATTTCACCTGTTATATGCCATGCAAGCAAGTAGACACGTTTTTTAACCTTAGGCCTATGTTTTTCTCCATTTCATAGATCTGTCACAATATGTAGACCTATAAAGTAGTATCGAATTCAGTAATAAGTTAGCATTGACTAAGTTATATAAACTTTAACACTAGTGTTTATTACAAGTCAATGGTAGTAGGCTACTGGTGCTCCCGCTGATTGCTGATTGATGCCTGTGTTAAGTTAGTGGCTAGCAGCCAATTTAACAACTAACTATGGAACATCAAGAAATCAGCTGTTTCCCCATCCTCATCCTCGCTCGGACGCTCGCCTTTACCCTAGCATGTCAACAGCTGACTGCTGTAAAAATTGGATGATGCGTACAACTTTCCATTGTGTAATATTGTTTTCTTCGTTGTGTTATTGTCCACAAAGTTTATCTATGTGGAACTTAATACTACTCCTGCCATCGCTTATTAAGTTTAATAAAAACTACATTGATGATGTCCGTTTTACATTGCGTGTTTTAAGGACGAAATGTAGGCCCTACCGTACGTGTAAATTAATTTTTCCAGGGTCCAAGGGTGGGGGGCTTTAGCCCCTGTAGCCCCCCCCCCCTTTTGAACTGCCACTGACTACGAGCTGATTATGAAATGAAACTGTTCTAAACTAATCCTAACCTTAACCAAACTGCAGTTTGTGAGTAAGTTAAATGTAGGACGTAAACTTAAATGCAGACAGCAAATCAATGTTTGAAGGTTGATGACAGATTAAGAAATTAAATAGGCCTAGCACCAAGGGCTTACCTAGGCCTACAGCTTCCATTGTCAAGAGGTAAACTTTAACAGTTTTTATTATGATGTACCTAGCCTACCTATGTTAAAATCTTAAGGCCTAAAGTTAGGGTTAGGATTATTTGTTTGAAAACAATTAACTTACTCAATACTATTTTCATTGATAGGTTTCCACGGCCGTCACTTAGCTTATCCATACATTCTTGGTCTTCGGGGTGCGACCGTGTAATTTATTTGGTTATGTGTACAATATGAAATGAATATGTATTATGTAGCCTACAGAGAAACTAACCAAGTACAATTAATAACTACCCCATGAACAGACATTTCTCAATCAATATTGACATAGGCACAGAAGGAGAAGACAGGAGCAAAAGCCCATGAACATCCTGCATTCCTGCATCCTGCTTTTTTTATCATAGCGAAATATTTACAATAAAAATGTAGGGCTCAGGGCTCATTTATTATAAACATTTTTACTTTCTAATAACATTGGATTGATTTATAACAATACCTATTGGCTATTGCATTCCAATTTAATTTCCATTTTCCAAACAAAGTAGAGTAGACAAAATTGAATTCAATACAACATAACTTAGGCCATAGGCTAAATAAACAAAAACAAAGTAAAAATGAGTGGCCGAGGATCAATCGATCAGCTGGTCGTACGCAAGATGTGTGTACTGTGTGTATAGTGTATAGAGTACTAGCAGACTCCATGGTGGAAGGAAAAAACATGTGTTTTTTCCTTCCACCATGAGCAGACTCTGCTAAGTGCTAAGCAAAGCAGAGTGGATAGCGCTGGGTTCACAACGATATGGTAGGCATTCGGTTAAATATCGAGCTTGTTTTCTACCGGATGACAGACATCGACTTTTAAGTATTGGCTCTTGGCTCTGGCTCACCGGCTGTCTCATGGTGGAAGTAAACTACTATTGCCTTGGTGCCTTCTGCTGCAGCTGCTCCTACTGTAACAGTTTTAGTAACTCCTCTGCAAGGTTTTAAAAGAAAAATAATAACCTTTTTCTTTTAATAACCTTGACTCCTATGTCTGTCGTCATCGTCAAACGTTTTAAGTGGCCTTGACGACGGAAGGCCATAATTTAATTCACAATATTACAGTGAGAGTGAATGCAAATAAATAAGTAAAACAATATCTGAACATGGCATAAAATTTGCCACTGAAAATGTTTATTATCCAATTACAGTAAGGCTGATAACCAGCATGATAAATATATAAGAACTTAAATTACGGAGTAATTTTAAAATTTATATTCCAGTAACTTACGAAATTAACGCCAGATAAATTACCGCCCCCCCCCCTTACTTTTAAAAGCGTTTAGACGCCCGCCTTTGCATTTTTGCATATTTCCTCCATAATAATGCACCATGAAACTGATCAAAAACAAAGTTGGAATAAATAAATAACCTAATTAAATCAAATATTTCCCTCCTCTTTTAGGCTAGTGCTAAGTTAGTAGTTTTTGTTATCTCTGTCTTCTCTCTTCTTTCTGTCGGTGTTGGTTGGTTTTGGCTTTTTTTACAAAGTTTTATTTACAATCTGTTTTACATTAAACAATAAGTAAATATGATGACATTTATATAAATAAATTTAAAATTTGATAACATGAGCTATAGCAGCTAAACTTGTTTGTTTCTCGTTTTGGTTGGTTGGTTGGCGTTGGCGCTATGGAAGCCAATCGATTTACGATATTCGATAGTAGTTTTTTTCATACTACGACAATCGATACTTAACCAGTGCTACCATATCGTTGTGAACCCACTACCCAGCGCTATCCGAAAGTTGCCGACTTTAGTATGCTCAATTGAACAATTTAGAAACATGCTAGAGACTTGAAATTTCGTAGTATTGTAGTATGGGATCTTAAATTAATCGTGAAATTTGCAAAAGTCCAATTTTTAAATTTAAACCCCCCCAAAAATACAAAATGGCGGACCTCTGAAAACGACAAAACATGTTTTTTAACGGCTATAGCTCAAAAACGGTAAGAGCTATAAAACGATTTGAGGAAAAATCGTCGGTTCCGAATTACATTTAATACAAGAAACTATTATGCGTTTTTAAAAAATCGCACTCTTTCACCTTCAAAAAACGTCCTACTTTCAATATTTGGTAAATTTCTTCCAACTTTTTAACGGTTTTCGATATTTTTCCATACCTAAATAATTAATTTTTGCAAATATTATTAATGCTTTGTATCTAGTTTACTATAAATAGTACTCTTAACATGTTTTTTCGTAAATTTACCTCTTGACCCCAAAAACGTAGGTTTAATGTCAAAAATTGAAAGGTTTTACCACTATTACGAAGCCCCATGTTATTCTTATGGAGAATAGCTATGCATTTTAAGACTTTGGTATGCTCATCCGATTCGTTTAGGAACATGCTAGAGACTTGAAATTTGGTAGTATTGTAGTATGGGATCTTTAACTATCGGTGAAATTTGCAAAGATCCCATTTCCAAATTTAAACCTCCCAAAACATCCAAAATGGTGGACATAGAAAAACGACAAAATACGTTTTTTCAAACGGCTATAGCTGGAAAACGGTAAGAGCTAGGAACAATTTGAGGGGAATCGTAGGTTCGGAATTAAATTTCCTACAAGAAACCATCATGCGTTTTTCGGAAATCGCACTCCTTCACCTTAAAAAACGCCCTACTTTCAAAAGTTGGTAAATTTCTCCCAAGTTTTTTTACGGGTTTTGCTTCTTTTCCCAACCTAAGTAAATTATTTTTTCAAATATTATTAATGCTTGGTATTCTCCTTAAAAAGGGGGACCTCTATTTACTTCATTATAATACTTTACTATTATCAACTTATCAATTTACACTAATATATTCGTGAAATGGTTATTACTTCAACGTCGATTTCTGAAATTACACAAACGAATAATTTACAACCCCAATTATACTTTAACTTTGTTTGACCAAAAACTCAGTTGTAAAAATACCTTACTAACACACTCTCTTAGCGCAACTTTAAAAACAATTTTTATAAGGGGTTCTTTAGGGTGGGGCTTGAAATAAACTTGCCAACCTCCTCTAATATATTCGTGAAATTGTTTTTATATGACGTAATATTGACTGTTTCACTGCCTGCTTTGTTACAACTCTAATCTACTAATGACGACTAACAGCTAGGGGGCCTTTTTAAGAATTCCCCCCAAGTTATTCTTATGGGAATAACTTTTTAAGCTTCTGGCTTTTTTATGGGGAACAGAAGCCTTTTAAAGACTACTTTTAGGTAATAACCATCTTACAGTTATTTTTATTTGTATTGCCTTCTTGACTTCTTTACGCTTCTCACTGAGCTATAATTCTAACTGGAGGTAGCACTGAATGTCAAAGATGCGTGTCGCCAGCCGCCATGTTTGCGTGAGGTGTGAGTTATAAAGAAGCCATGTTATTGGATGAAAAAACTCACTGCTATACAACGACCTTCTCACCGCAGTATTTCACCTCCCTTTTTTTTAGAACCTTTGGAACAGTTACACGGAACTGTTTGGGATAATGTTCAATACAACTGTGACAAAAAGTATAGAATAGGTTAGGCGAAACCGTTATATTACAAATAGCTCCGTTCCTTCTCAACTTTATTATTTTTCCTGCATAAAAATTTAATTATTATGATATACCTTTTTTCCTCCTCCTCATAATAATAACAAGTCTTTTATAGACATGGACATGACCTGTAAGTTAGTTAACTGGTTTCGTTTATTTAATTATTCTTACATTACATCACGAAAACCGGCTTATTCTTAAAAGACAATGATATAATAGCATATTAAGGAAAACTATTCAAAGAAATTGCACAGTTTTGTTAAATTTGCTAACAATGAGAAAGGTTATAAGGTATAAGGTATTGTTGATGGAGCAGGAGTCACAATGAAAAAGCACATACAAATTAAAATCAAAAGTTTTATTATTATATTTATAGTTATATTTTGGATACAGTATTGTGAAGTTCATAATTATAATAAATTTAACTTACCTTCTTCTGTTTCAAAATTCAGCTCCCCAACTATTATTTCAATGGCATGGGCTTCTTCCAGATGCTGGATCAAGTTTTCAAACCACGAAAATTGATGAGAGCAATCACCCTCTGGGCCTTTGGGCAAATAAGCCTTTTCGGGTTGTTTGAACAGTCAGATTGTTCACTACAACAACTATCATGCACATTACGTGTATGGCGCGTTAAATTAAATTTACTAGCAAAAGTGTTTGTCACAAAATGAACATTCAAACTTTTTTTGTATTAATATCAGACATACTGATCCAGTAACTCTTTAACTTGAAATAACACCATCGATTTGAGATAAAGTTTCCAATCACTTGACAAAATGGAGGTTAAAGACAGAGATCCGCGAAAAACAAAATGAACGCCTAAAAAGGAAATGGAATGGAACTCTTTGTTTGTAATGTAACGGTTTTAACAAATCTATTCCAAACAGTTCCGTGTAACTGTTCCAAAAGTTCAAAAAAAGGAAGGTGAAATACTGCGGTGAGAAGGTCGTGCTATACAGACCTAGTTATAGAAGCCATGTCATTGGTTAAAAAAACTCACTGCTATACCAACCTAACAAAATCAGCGACACGCTCTTGACAGACTTCTGCCATGGCAGTGCTACCTCCAGTTATAATTTTAGCTCAGTGACGCTTCTTGGTCTTGGCCTTTCACCCAAGTAGCAAAAATCGTTGGCAAATCGTTGGCCCAACGTTTCTGTCGATCGTTGGCCAACGGTATTGTTACAAGTCAGGAGCCCCGCGCAACAATAGCCAGGCGTCGTCTCAAAAGGATTGTTTGTTTACACGGGTTCTCCGAACGCGCCAGTGATAGACAATAGACCCATGTCAACGGACTACGTCAATAGGGGTTTTGACATCTACCAGAAGCTTCCACGGCGATCTGTAAACACCTTTGTCTAGCCTACGAGGGGTCTCCAGAATGTTCCACGGTAAACTTAGAAGAACGAGATCTAGATACTAGTGGAACTAAATCAGCCCTTCAGGCACGCCTTAAACAAGCTTTAATTGATGCAGTAAAAAGACCTAGATAACGTTTTATTTGAAACATCTGATTTTTATAAAATGCTTAAAAACCTAGAAGCAAATATTGAGTCAAAATTGTTAGAAAACAGCAAAGCTTTAGAGTCAAAAATGTCAGAAAATAGCAAAACATTAGAGTCAATGTCAGAAAATAGCAAAGCATTAGATTCAAAAATGTCAAACCTAGAAGCAAATATTGAGTCAAAAATATTAGAAAACAGTAAAGCATTAGAGTCAAAAATGTCAGAAAATAACAAAAACTTAAAAGCTAGCATTGAGTCAAAAATGTCGAATGTAGAATCAAAAATGCTGAACAAGTTAGATGAGTATTCTAGTAAAGTTGATGATTTAGAAAGTAGGATGAATGAAATGGATGAGAAATTTAATTGTATAGAAAAAAATCTAGAAGATAAGTTAGTTAAGCTTAGGCATGAAATGGCTGCGTCGGGGAGCTTCACACCTGCGTCATCGGCTAGCACTGGCGAACTTCAGCAGGATAACGCCCTAGATACGATCTCCAAGCCAGCGCCCACCATTGCTGTCGTTGCCCCTCAGAACATCGTTCCTCACTTCGATGGCAAAACTCCCTGGGAGGACTACATGCTTCTCTTCGAGACAGCGGCTATGGTCCATGGGTGGACCGAGGAGACAAAGGCTTCAGCACTGTGCCTTGCACTACGGGGCGATGCATTAGCTGTTCTGCATGCTATGCCAATGGCGGAGCGGAAGAATTTCCTAGAACTAGTGAGGAGATTGGACATGCGCTTTGGGCATCGACACATGGACCAGCTCTACCGATCACAGCTGCGGAACCGGATCCAGAAGTCCAGTGAGTCACTCCAGGAGTTTGAAGCCGACATCGCTCGCCTGGTGAGAAACGCCTATCCATCGGTCATGGATGATGTCTACGAGAGTTTGGCGGTGGATAAATTCCTAGACGGTCTACGTGAACCTGAGACTCAACAGGCAGTGAAGCTCGCCAGACCAAAGACCCTGAGTGACGCACTGACACAGGCACTGGAGTTCGAGGCTGTGCGACAGTCGGTGAGGGGCCAGGCTCGAGTCCGCGTGGCAGACGCAGAACCTACAACTCCACTGGACATCGAGGAGCTAGTAATGAGAGTGCTGGAGGCACTAAAAACTCGTCGCCGGCAGATACGCTGTTGGAGCTGCGGACAGATGGGACATCCCCGGAGTAAATGTCCTTCGACCACATCAGAACCGAAGCAGGAAAACTAAGGAGGGTTGATGGAAAGGGGCAACCGTCAGCCCGCGATTGGAAAGCCCCGAGGAAAAGTGGTAAAGTTGCTTCACTGGGAAGTCAGTCGAGCAGTTTCTACGTCGACGGAAAGGTGAACGGGCGTCTCCAAAGCTGTCTTCTGGACACCGGGGCGACTATGACCATCCTGGATCCAAACACTGTGTCGACGGAAGATATTTCACCAACATCATGGTCTCTACGTACAGCTACAGGTCAGCTGGCTCAGGTCTATGGCCACGGCGATCTGTAAACACCTTTGTCTAGCCTACGAGGGGTCTCCAGAATGTTCCACGGTAAACTTATATAAGGGACCGTCTTCCGGCACACGGCAGTTGAGTTGAGTTGAGCCTTCCGAGAATCGTCGCAGCAAGCGCCCGTCGGTGTTAGTGACCAGTGCTAGTGCTAGTGGCAGTGACAGTGTAGTGACGGTGTAGAGACAGTGTAGTGACACTAGTGACAGTGTTGTGACAGTGCTGAAACAGAAGTAGTGATAAATCCTGTAGAGGCTAGCTGTAAGTAGAAACATTGTAAATTAGAATAGGCATTAGCTAGGTTTAGATAGGGTTAGTTAGGGGTTAGGTAATTGCAAATATTGTAAATAGAGAATAATACGTGTAAATAAATAGTTATTATAAAATCGCCAAGTTTTATTGTAAAGAACCTGTTAAGCCCGCAACAGTATGTTTTGGCACTCAGTCTTACGGTTGGCCAACCAACCAATTTTTGCGGAAGGGCCAACCATCCTATTGGGCATAAACATAAAAAAACACAAAATAATAAAGATTTTGTATGCAAAGCATAATTATGAGTTGAGTAAATTGATTAAATAGTTCATAAAAACTTATTTTGAAAATAAAACGAAATAAAAATTTTGAGCCGGGACGGGTCTCGAACCCGGTACCTTCGACATGTGATCCTCACGCCTTACCTCTGAGCTAAATGTGCTTGTTGATCATGAATGTTTTCAAGTGGTGAAAGAGTAGCCGACAGGTGCAATGGTCACAATTAATACTTTAAATATTTTTGGTGCTACAGTATAATATGATTCTGTTAATCTGTTTAGGTCTCAAGTAGTTGAATTGTTTTTCTGGTAGTTGGAGAAGATACTAGTATTTGAATATAGATTATTTAATTTAATTACCATTAGATTAGTAGGCTACTGTTATAATTGATTGTTAGGTATATAATTAATTAATCTTTTCTCTATAACTATTAAAAACTTGCTTAAATAAGTTAAAGAATAAAAAAAGTTATAATAATTATTATATGTTAAGCAGGTGTTCCCCACTGCATCCAGTATCACAACATCATCTGACTACATTCATTATTGATCCAAATTTTTACAATATTTGTCTTATATTCTGCTGCCATAACATTTATGTACTTTTAAATCAATCAATTTTTTAATTTCGTTTTAGAATGTTTCATACTTAAACCCAACGAATGCCCAACGAAGGCCCAATGATTCTTTCCTTTGTAGGGCCAACGAATACCAGTTTCCGTTGGGCCAACGTTGGCAAATCGTTAAAATTTCTGCCAACCATTTCCCAACCATGCCGACCATTTCCCAACGTTGGGCCAACGATGTGTGCTACTTGGGCACACCCCCCCAAGTTTTGAATTCCTTTTTTTTTAAATTTTTATAGGGAATAGGTTTGAAAGTGGCTGTTAGATATTTGTTACTAGAGATTTTAAATTTACCAAGGATGTAGTAAGTAATCTAATAAGTCAACACCCCACAATGGACTGGGGCTAGACTCTAATCTACTAATGACGACTAACAGCTAGGGGGCCTGGGGCCAAAGGCAAGTACTACTATAACCCAGAATGCCAACCGCATAGTAAAAAGCATTAAGCGTTTTGAGAGAGCTTTGCCTGTCAATCGTAGGCAGCGCCACCAGCGTTGCTATGCTGAGTGCATGGCAACGCTGGTGGCGCTGCCTACGATTGACAGGCAAAGCTCTCTCAAAACACTTAAAATGCTTTTTACCACGCGGTTGGCATTAGGCATTCTGGGTTATAGTAGTATGTTTTCTGTGCTTCTGCTGCGCTGCAGCTGCTCCTACCTATGTCTGTCGTCGAACGTGGCCTTGACGACGGAGGGCCATGATTTAATTCACGTACTACAATATTACAGTGAGAGTGAGAGTGAATACAAATAAATAAGTACAACATAATATCTGAACCTGGCATAAAATTTTCCAATGAAAATGTTTATTATCCAATTACAGTAAGGCTGATAACCATCATGATGAATGTATAAGAACTTAAATTACGGAGGAATTTTAAAATTAATATTCCAGTAACTTACGCAATTAACGCCAGATAAATTACCGCCCCCTTACTTTTAAAAGCGTTTAGATGTCCTTTGCATATTTCCTCCATAATAATGCACCACGCACCATGGAAACTGATCAAAAGGAACAAAGTTGGAATAAATTAAATAACATAATTAAAATTAAATAAACTATTTGGCGCTCGCTATGGAATTTTGGTTGGGTGGCGCCATAGATAAAACCATAGACTAACCAACACAAGTAGACTTCTCATCCCATTGTAAATTTTGAAGCAAGTTTTTCGTGTCTAGTTCATGTACGTGACACAAAGGCGCTAGTGTCGACGAAACTTTGTTTCTATTATTTTCGGGTTAATTTCTTGATTTGTGCTTTACTGTTTGGTTATATAACTAGGGGACAAGTTATTGTTTATGAATAGATCGTATTATTTGGTTAAACGATGTTTTAAATGACTGTATTAACGGGAAACAAATTGTAAACAAAACACGACATCTGCAGAAAAACGGACAGAACTAACAATAAAATTGGCTTCAGCTGTTCCATAAGGATGGGAAATCTACTAAGGGAGTATGTTTTATCATAGATAAAACATACTCACTATGGTGGGTGGTGGCGCTATGGAAGCCAATCGATTTACGATATTCGATAGTAGTTCTTTTCAGACTACGTCGATCGATACTACTTAACCGTATGCCTACCATATCGTTGTGAACCCAGCGCTATCCCAGTCGAAACGGCACACGGAAGATTTCTCAGGTACCGTTTGACGTCACTAACTGCTGACGTCACTTTGAGGGAACACCAATACCGCAACGATACGGTTATGAGCGATCGGCCTCGGTGGTGAAGTGAATAGCGTAGCGGGCTGATAATCCGAATGTACCAGGTTCGAATCCTGCCGGTAGCCCTAACTTTTTGTCAACATTTTTTTCCATAGCAGCAAGTTTGGTTGGTTTGGTTAGGTTATGACAGTTTAATTTTATAATTAAGAAATTATAAAATTGAATTTTAGGCATTATAATTTTATTATATGAACAAAACTATTTTTTAGATTAGTTAACCTTAATAAGATTTTTCCATTATCAGCACGTTTGGTTAGTTTGGTTAGGTTATGACAGTTTAATTGAATAATAGAAAAATTATAAAATTTTCTGTTTCTTCAGACGCAGCAGTTAGTGACGTCAGCAGTTAGAGACGTCAAACGGCACCTGAGAAATCTTCCGTGTGACCGTGTGCCCCACCGCTATCCCAGTCGGCAACTACTAACAACAACAGACAACTGAACTGACGCTATTGTTTTTAATATAATAATAACAATAACAATTCCGAACTGAGACAAGAGGCAAACTGGCAAACATCTCATCAAAATAATTAAGTAAAACCAGAAGTCATTTTCATTTTAAACTTCTTTAACAGAAATACTAATATGCTACAGTACTGTTGTACTATAATGATTAATAAAATGTAAACAAAAAATCGCATAAAGTTTGTGAAATTAATTATTCCTGTTGTGTGTTGTGAGTGTGAGGTTAGGTTACAGTTTTTGTGTAGACGGAGACCATGGTTTGACAAGACATTACATCAAATTTGAACTGAAAAGGAAATTTAGTTGAATGTTCTAGATAAGTTTTCTGTCAATGCTTGTAAACTATTTTAAATGGATGAAAAATTGGCAAGATACAGATCCAAGAAGAGGAGAGAAGAATTTATCCAATTGTCAAAAGAAAAAATATTCTCATTTCTTAAAGTTGGGACTCAAAAACATGATATGGTAGGAGATGAAGTTGAACTCACTATCAAAGATCAGGTTAGTTTCAAAGCCTAACTTGTTGTTGGGCCTATTCCCTAAACATAACATTTAAGTTAACACCCTCTCCGAAAGAGCTTGTTTTCCATGCAGGTAAATTTTCTGTTGTGTTTACAAACTTTATAGCCTAGGCCTATAATTAATACGCCAACACGAAATTTGTTGAACTCCTCCGCCATTTCTTAACTGATTTAAAGATCCATTAACGTCTCATTGGAAATGAGCATGTCGTGTAGACAGGGCCGTCCGAAGGTGGAGGGGGGGGGGCAACTGGGGCAAGCTGACCCGGGCGCCGTGGCTGAGGGGGCGCTGCACAGCGACTATTTGTATTAACATAGTAAGTTATTAAAAATATGTGAATGCGACTTTGGTAATTATTTGATATTTCTACAATGCGATATCTTGTAATTTTTATATGTTTAGGCTACTTACAGTATTTTTCACGCAGAATCCAAAAATGCCATCAGTTTTTGTTGGAGAGATTCCTAAGTGGCCGTACAGTTAAATAATTAATATTAAGCTTCAGTTTTGTTGATTTATTAACATATTTGTCGTATGGACGAGTCCAAGTTCTAGTGGCGAAAATCTAACACTAAAAGGGGTGGAAGGTTTGTGGAGTGGAAACAGCTGTCAGTTGTTTACATTCTAAACTAAACAGTCAAAACCACAAACGACGCCATGAGAGCAAAATCAGAGTTACAATATGCAATAACTAGATTTTTAAACAAAAATGGACTTGATGCTGTTTAGAAAATACAATACAATAAATCAACTATTATTAATAAACTAATAATCACGTGAACATGAAGGTAATTATTTACCCTATTTACACTGGGATTTGATGTAAAATTTTGATATGTCTACTTACAGTATTTTTAACGCTGAATCCAAAAATGCTATCAGTTTTGGTCGGAGATATAAGTGGCCGTACAGTTATATAATTAATATTAAGCTTCAGTTTTGTTGATTTATTAACATATTTGTGTTATGGACGAGTCCAAGTTCTAGTGGCAACTAACACTAAAAGGGGTGGAAGGTTTGTGGAGTGGAAACAGCTGTCAGTTGTTTACATTCTATAAGTACAAAACAGACAAAACCACACACGACGCCATGAGAGCAAAATCAGAGTTACAATATGCAATAACTAGATTTTAAAAAGAAAATGGATTTTGGTGCTGTTTATAAAATACAATAAATCAACTACTGTACCGGTACCATAAGTTACATAAACTATTAATCACATGAACATAAATTATAAAACAAAATAGAATTTATTCACGTAAAATACTAGTAATAGAAGCTAAGCCACTGCCGACATGATCATCGTCCTCATTCCAATCCTCAACCATTGACTAATGCCTCAACGTAGCTGGTAATGAACGTGCCATAGTGCATAATCCCATAGTACACAATCCCATTGTGTCTAAAAGTGAAAACGTGCCACAGTGCATAATTTAATGTATCAGCAACTAATAAATTATGTTACATAATCTAATCTAACCTAACCCAACCCAACCTTAATATTAATGTTTAAATCACATTTTATGTCAGAAAAGGCATGTGAGGAAGATAGGTCGGACTTTATGCGGATTCGTGACTATATTAAGTCCTTTGAAGTGAGGTTAGATTAAGTAAGTTAAAGGTTAGGTTATAATGAACCGACTCATTAACCAGCACATTTTTGGCTGAGCAGTGGCTTGCGCATTTTTGATATCGTTATTTCATTGTGTTTCACCCACTAATTGTGCAAAAACAGTCTGGAAGTTGCATAAATTAATGAGTCGGTTCATTATAACCTAACCTTTACCTTCCTAATCTAACCTCACTTCAAAGGACTTAATACAGTCACGAATCCGCATAAAAGCCGACCTACCTTCCTCACATGCCTAAATAAGAACTGATTATTTGGTTTCAAAACAAATTGATTTGATTTCATTCCGCATTAGATCAAGTATAAACAGTTGTTTGCTCTTCTCACTCAGTCCTCACTCCTCACTCTTCACTCAGTACGGACCCGTTCAGACCACGCCATATTACCATTACCTTCAGTACCGCTCAATTATCCTTAGATTCGTAATCCTAACCTTCGTTTTACGGCCACTTAGGAATCTCTCCGACAAAAACTGATTGCATTTTTGGATTCCGCGTTAAAAATACTGTAAGTAGACATATAAAAATTACATCATATCCCAGTGTAAATACGGTAAATATTTGCCAACATAAATTATAAAACAAAATAGAATTTATTCACTTAAAATATCAGTAATAGAAGCTAGGCCACTGCCGACGTGATCATCGTCCTCACTCATTCCCTCAACCATTGACTAATGCCTCAACGTCTGCTAATGAACGTGCCATAGTGCATAATCCCTTAGTACATAATCCCATTGTGTCTAAAAGTGAAAACGTGCCACAGTGCATAATTTAATGTATCAGCAACTAATAAGTCGTTACATAATCTAATCTAATCTAACCTAACCCAACCAACCCTTAATATTAATGTTTAAATCACATTTTATGTCAGAAAAGGCATGTAAGGAAGATAGGTCGGACTTTATGCGGATTCGTGACTGTATTAAGTCCTTTGAAGTGAGGTTAGGTTAGGTAAGTTAAAGAAAGGTTAGGTTATAATGAACCGACTCATTAATTTCTGCAACTTCCAGACTGTTTTTGTACAATTGAAATAGTGGAATACAAAAGAGTGAAATACAATGGAATAACGATATAAAAAATGCGGCACATTTTTCATATCGTTATTTCATTGTGTTTCACCCACTATTTAATGTTACAACATCAAAATTAATGTTACATTATTCAAAATTCATGTTTAATGTCAGAAAATCGCCCCTTACTGTGACCCCAGGTTTCAGTATCATTGTCAGCTTTTGGTGACCATACACCCTTAATTCCCGACCAGAAATGCCCCTCAGCATCACTTCAGGTTTCCTAACAGGAAGAGATGAAACACCGTGCTTAATCAGCGACACTTGTGCACCTGTGTCTATCACCTTCAAGATTACCAATCTGACCTATAGCTACTAATTCTTCAGTTAGCATGTTTACTTCCGGAACTACCCGGACCTGTTTTTCTACATTCAAACAGTATCTCGCCTGATTATTATTTCCGCTCAACGGGACCCCACACCGGCGATTGTGCTGATCCCAACGGGATGTTGTTTTCCGAGCCCCTAGAGCTACTAGCAGGTACAGACTGGTTACGGGGACAGTCTCGTTGATAATGACCTTTCTGCTTGCAAATCCAGCACGTTACTTCCCGGCCGAACCTATTTTGACCATTCGGAAATGTTCCTGGAACTGCTATTTTGCTATTTTTATAACTGCTCGCTCCTACAGTCCCTTGAAACATGCCACGCACAGCCTACAACAACGGTAGCACATCATTTCTGTCTGAAAAACCCTGCGCGGAGGACCATTGTGCTGGTCCCTATTGTTTTTGGTAAGGTGTTCAATAGTGTCCGCGGTAGTAATTGCTTCTCTTAGGCTCGCTGGGAATTTGTACCGCGTTTGTTCCCCCACAGTTCCCACCAGGCCACGGACAAAGACATCTAGGGCTCGCCTATCTGCCTCCTCCCAAAGCGCTGCGTTAACTTCCTGATTATCCGTAATTCTTAGAGTCTTTACATTTAATTCCCTTACTCGGTTTGAAAAACTTTCGATTGACTCCCCACGACGCTGATACATTGAGGGCAATTGCTGAAAGTAGCCATGTTGTGGCGCTTTGTCTTTAAAACAATCCAACAACAAGGTTATGAATGTTTCATAAGAAGCAATATTTGCTTCAGCCTCCGACTGAACAAATCTCAAAGCTGTGCCAGTTAATTTTAATTTCCCTATTCTCAAACGTTCATCTCCTCCCCAGTAACTAAGATCTCCCACGCTTTCGATAGTTTGAAAAAAATGTGCCACAGATTCCGGATTATCCCCATTGAACGTTGGTATCGACGATACCAAGTCAAAGTTGGCTTTCCCAACAATGATCTTGTTATCCCGAGCGGCATCCCTAATCGTTCGGTTTAATTCGTCAGCTACTTGCCTTATCTCTAATCTAACGGTAAGAGCATCCAGCGGTTCTTGAAGCTTCATCCTCCCGACCACTAAAACTCACCCTTCCCGTCATAGTTAAGACACGAAAACAACAATAATTTTTTGTTACAATGCACCCTTAACAACGTTCACAACTAGAAACACTAGAGCAGAGAAAGCACATAATATTTATCTCACTCTTCCTATGACATATGACAGGCTTACTCATCACTGAATTCTAATTCACTACTTATAAATATGTTTTCCTACAGTCACCCGACAAAGTTGGCTTCCTTTTATTGTTTATAGTACAGAAAGCTGCTAATTGCTGCATATTTATACTTTGCCGTACGGTTTATACTTTGCCGTACGGTTTATACTTTGCCGCACATCAGGATTCCAACGAAACAACACAAAACAGCGTGGTTCCATTATGCACGTAATACGTGTACGCTTGGAAATAGGTTGGCAACACTTAAAGATAATTATACTATGAGCAGCTGATTGACTATTATAACTACGATTTAACCTGTCATTTCGTGTTTATAGTTTCGGTATTTCTGAACTTTCTGGACTTTTCTTTTAAACGTTTTTAAAACCTTCCTACGATCTTAATAAACAAGAAAATACCTTTTAAGCATTTTTTTTTAGGCACGGAAACCACTTCAAATTACAAAAACATACGGAACTATATTCTCAAAACGCGGAGCACATTTCTTGCCGAGGAAAAATAGCGGAGTGATATGGACCGCGGGTACTACTTTCTCTAGGCCACCATTTGAGTTGCCAGCTGAACCTAAAAACGTGTTGCATAGTGTTTGAAAGACTAATTATTTATATGCTTTATAGTGACTGTAGGAAAAATATAATGTGTAACACGAGTGAAAAAGGCCTTTGCTGCACTCGAGATCATTCCACACTCGCCTGCGGCTCGTGCGTAAACATTGCTCTCGTGT